GTGGTGAACTCGGGTGAAAAAGTGCCGTAAGCGCGGATTCGATTTCGGCCGTTAGTATGAAGGGATCGCAATATTGAAATTAACTTCTCGGGCACACCCTTCAGGGAAGGGCAGCGCCAGAGTTTAGAGCGGTCAACTGAGTCGAAAGCCGCTTTTATGTAGAGGAGGACAGAGATGGTGGGTCTACGAAAGGAGTGTTTTTGTTCCGCATGATACCAGCTGGCTATTGATAGGTTGCATTCCCCAGTGTTGAAGATTGGCTGTGGCATTGTGTAATTCGAAAATAAAGCGAGACAATAGATTATTTTTATTTTATTCAATGGTAGCGCGAATGCCGTGCGGTCTACGCGTTGAAATCCCGTACAAGAAACCGATAATCTAATACACATAAATATCAAAAATCGGATGGTGAAACAGAAAAATGTTGTTATTCTTGTTATCTACTGTTATCCGTTGTACCTTTTTGACCTCCATTTTAGTCTGTTCTGTATCTCAATGCCCTCATTCATGTTATTTTTATCTTTATTGCGGAGTTGGCACGATGCTTGCTTGCATTCTAGTGATATATATATATATATATTTAGGTGTGAGAATAAAATTGTTTATTACTGTTTATCGCTGATGCATGTATTACACAAATAACTTTTTAGTGGAATTTAATATTTCACAAACGCACACCTAAATACGAATTCAGTTTTTTTGCCTCCGTAATAAAAGATGCACTGAATACGCTGAGATTACTCATTTATAAAGACTGCGAATGAACCAGTTGGATTAGCGACAATAGCGATTTTTATTGAATTTTAGATATAAAACAGAATCGTGAGATGAGCATCACTGAAGGAGAAAAAACACTTGATATCAGCTGGAAAAATGTGTGGAACCTGCAATCCTCTGCAGTATCGCCTTTATTTTATCGGTCCAAGAACTCTCAGCAGCAAGTTCACGAACGGTCAGCAAAAGATTGGATGGTAACACGAGAAGTCATAATGTGAAACAGTTATTGGTTCTGCATCAGTTCAGGCTTTTACAACCATAATCAACGGGGTGTGGAAAGTTGAAAGCTCATACCGTTACGTATCTCTCACATAAACACTTTCCCTCACAATGCCATACACCGAACTAAGGTGAAAGAGAAGGTCATATGAGGATTGGTATCTTAGAGGGGTTACCGATTTTATTAAGTGAAAAATATTAAAAAAAGCGGTATATGAGAGAGAGACGAGAGTGAAAATTAAGCTATCGAACAAATTTTGATTTAACTGACGTACTCCTCTCGTGTGGAGGAACTGACTGGTAGTGAACTCACTTCTTCACAGAGGAAATCAGTTTGTCGTACAGTAGTTCAGTTGCATAGATCAAATTTTGCTGATTATCTTCCAAACACTCCCCTGGTTGCAGTCGTCGTGGATCAACTTCATACGAGGGTTTACTCATTCGTGTACCAGTCGGCCGTGCAGCAACAGAGCTTGGCACTGCCCGATAGGCTGAACTATCTTTATAAGACGAATCCACGGGAAATGGATCGGTCCAAGGTTGCAGGTCAACAGCTGTCCCACTAGAACCACCAGCATCACGACGAACTAGCTCCATTAGTGCTGGACCTAAAGTGGATTGAAGATAGTCTTGGCCAAATTGTTTGAAGCAGAAGTTCATTATCTTGCTTGTCATGGTATTTCCGCGCAGTAAAGTTTGCATGTTATCGGCTGCCTCGAGCTATAACGTAGACGGTACAAAAGGACCAAACAGGGAAGGTACTCAGCAAATACCTGAATGTAAACATGTAGACGGTGGCACTTAGCTGAATATCCAACTTCGACACCCACATGATCCTTAAGTGTTACAGCGTTGCTAGTCTTGTCAAACCTTCGCAACTGTGAAGTAACCTCCATCGTAGGTTATAACAAAAATACGGTTAGCAGAGTTGTACGCACACACGAGCGGCTTCAGGTAGCGGATGGTAGAATGGCTACCTTTATTGAATTTCGGTTTATACAAACACTAATCATGCACTTTCGTGTGGCGATTTAGGTTGCTGTTTTTGGCTGTCAATTTGTTTTAGGAAGGGAACATTGAAAGTAGTGTAAAGATGAAAAAAGAGAATTCAAATAGACTAAGGTTGCACGAATATAGAGTGAATATGCAAGCGCCACTGTTCTATTACTTAGATAGTTCACTGCGTACATGCGAAGACCATTTCACGGAATGAACAATGAGAATATGGGGAATTTTCGCTTATCAAGTGACTCGTATAAAAAAGCCGTGACTGTCCATAGAAAGCATTGTGGTGTGACAATATGGCCCGCAACCTAACAAGGCTATGACTATGGTCCTCTTTGATTATCATTTGGTTGTGCAAGAGCTGGAGGCTTATCCTTGAGAAAAAGGGATAACTTTTAACCATATTCCCAAGATCCTTCGTGAAACCGAATTATGTATGGGCAGGTCGTCTAAAATAAGTCATTTTTTACAATACCTAGCTCGGATGAGAGTATCTGTTGATAACTTAGTGAGAACAGTAACTCAAGCTCTGGAGTGTTGAGTCACCAAGGTCCACAACAAGGTAGAGGTTAGATGGTGCAAACTGGACCTTAGCCACTGAAAGCTGTAGTGAACGCGTGTCCGCAACCGCAGTCACATGACAATTAAAAGATTAAAAACAAACCACATTGTGCCGAATGAAAATTAGGATGTTACGACATCTATTCGGTGGCATTGAGAACAAATAATAAACCCGATTATTTCGTTCGGTTATGAAAACCTAAATCAATCATCTATAGACAGAAAAATACACAAAGCTAAACAACCGAGTGCGAAAAAATACACAACTGGTTTTAAAGATTGACATAATAGTGTAATTTTCCCAAACTATAACATCAACTTACCTCTTTCGAAAATACGTTCCAAAACAATTGATAAAGCGAGTGCTTTACGTCGAACAAAGTAACCAAGACTCTGGCCAATTCATCCTACAATGAAACAGGTAGTAATGGATTCGTGACGAAAGGAGAGATAAGGAATGGTGATAAGACATAACATTTACTAAATCGTATGTATGCTTGATGATCCACAACAATCCTAGTATGATTTAACAGTTAGAACAGCAATCGTGTTCTTTTGTTAACTGTAACCTCAAATGTACGATATCTTGGACCTAGATATATTATCAACGAACAAATAAACACTGAACAAAAACACAAGAATTTGATTATGTCGGATCAGTTACTATGAAGAACACACCAAAAAGAAAACATTATCTGGTAATATAGGAGTTCAGTCGGAGAACAGATTCCCAGACAGATGGGAAGANCGGCATCCAATAGCGAAGAGAACAGAAGCTTACTGCACAATGGAAAACATGATGCCGAAAGCAGCAGATCGTGAATAGAACAATAACAAAAAAGAGATCACCTCGATATATATGGCACGTAATTGTCAAAAGACTAATAGACTAAAGAGTTACACAAACTTCTTTTTTTCGGAAACGAAACCATAAACTTAACCACCATATCAGTTGAAGGAGACATCCCAGTTTATTTTTGCATGTATGAAAAGATGGCCTCATCGGCTTTAGTTATTCTAAAAAGGAAATAAACATTATATGAAAAGAAACAATTTCGACATCGATAGTAAGGAACTCACCATATTACTCCCCTGTACAACCTGAGTTAGAGCAGTGGCAATTGGTAGCTCGCCATTTTCACCAACCATGGTAACCAAACCGATCAAGCGTTCGTAGCGTTCAGCAAGCGCTGTTTCCGCTAAGGTCTCGAATTCAGTGCCTTGCTGCAATATTTTGGTCAATACTTCCATGAAAGCAGCTCTGCTCTGTGGATCGCGATGATAACCAAGACCTGGAGGTTAAACAAATGGTCGAATTAGTAGAGATAATTTGAATATACCTAAGATTATGTCGGTCAACAAGGGAATCATGGATAGTAACATACATCAACCATTTTGTTCGATCACTACCGGATTCCATGTATGCCCACATTCTATCGATAGGAGCTGATGACGAAACAATGAAAAAAGTGACATCAAATTTATGCGAAATAATGCGGCAAAGACTTTGATATTTCAACTCCGAGGAGACCAGCAGTGACGAAATAAATTTATTCAAACGTCACTTTCACACCTGTAAAACCAACGACTGACTGGTTATCTATCCCTGGGGACCGCATCTGAACAAACTTTTGTCCTTAATTATAGTAAATCCTGATGTGATTTGTTTGGCACAGTAGTAACACACAATTAAGGCACTGTAACTCAATTTGACAAACATTGTTTGCATCGATCAGTAAATCCTAAAACTAAACGATATCCTTTTCACAGTGTGGTTGCAGCCATACAACAACCTTGAATACTGTCATTCTGTGCCTCTGAGCTTTATTGAAACCGCGGTGGATGAAACAGAAATTAAAATAATTCGAATTACTTTTATCATTAATCTGCAGATTATAGATTGTACGCCTGACCTCAAATTTGGTTTGGAGATCACTACAGTAATCGCAGGGCCTTGAATGATTGACTTGGATTTTAGTTGTACAAGACACTAATCATGATAGCAGGAATTTCACCTAAGGTTTATTTTAGTTTAATAAGAGAGAAGGGAACGTTCAAGAATGATTTATTTTTCGAATAACGGAAAATGATTGTTGAATAAAAATATAATTAACGCAAACACTAACGGTGAACTCATGCTCAAGCTTAAACAGCAACATTTACGTCTAATTAAGTTAAGTCAAACAGAAAGAGGATGGATCAAATGTACAAGGAATGATCGGAAATGTAAGACACCATGAATTTCACTAAATCTCTTCATCTCAAAGACTAACGTTCTGAGTCTCAAGCACGGAAATGTGTACGATAGTAGCTCTTACTACACATTTTCATAATAGTATTCATTCATGTTATTGCTTCATGCAATCAAACGTCTTATGAACGTACGGTTTCTCCACTTCAACAAGGTTGACGGCGCATCAGTTGTAAGATAAATTATCATTATTAGAAAAGAATGTGTGAATATATTTATGAAAAGGACCAATAGGTATAGTACAGGTATTGTTCTTTTCAAAAAATCGGAGTATTCGTCTTCATTCTTGATTACTTGAAGGAAGTATTTTGATATGGAGTCCACCAGCTGGGAAATTAGACAGTATTGGTCAGTTTACTCCATCACTTGCTGCACCATGGGCTCTAGCGATCACTCCCGAGGCAGTAGTTGACTTATCTTTCTCTTTAATAAAGAAAAAGTTTTCAAGTATATTCAGATCTGGGCTGTTGGTCACCAACTGAGTGAATTCGATTTTGAAATTAACCAATCCAGAAAGTGTCTATGTAAGAAAACAACACAAAATATCAAGCTGATTTCTTTGGTGAACCTCGAGTGCGAAATGATTTGGAGCGTTATGTAGAGAAACTATAACATTTCCAAACGTGTTGCGAGCGTGGTGTCACCAAAAAGCTGCCTGATCAGTCAATGAGGTTGTGCACCGTAATGAAGCCAAGTACCGGAGTTTAATGACAAGGTGCTCAGTATTTAATTAATACCTAACTCATCAGACGGGATGGATACCTACTTTTGCAAGTAAGAGCTTTAATTTGTTTGGACAACTAGGTCCACGAATGACTTTTACCGCCCAGTATATTGCTCATCAACCACCAGAAATTTGTTAATGAGATAAACCGAAACCAACAGGACGGCTGATGTAGTGAAGGTACAAGCGCAGCTATTTTGAATTGAGTGTGAGTCGTGTGGATTTTTCCCTTATTTAAAAGTATGAAACTCCAGACTGCTCTGTACCAAATATTTTCTAATTCTAGCTGTAATTCTGGAAGTACATCACATTTTCTCGTCACATCCAAGTTCCAATTCGGTGGAGGTAAACCGCCAGTTACACCAGACATGATTTGTGCCGCTGTTTAGAAATTTTAATGCTTTCTACGCTGAGGTCGTATAAGAAATCTG